AAAACGACTCTGAAACAGTAAACAGCATTTAAACCACAAACTTTACCTAAGACTACAACAATGTGTGAAGACTAGAGAGAGGTCATGATTATCTCCATAACACACAGTCTGATCAAGCCTGTAAGAGTTCTTAATAAAGTTTAAAAGCAACTGGACAGCCAAGTAGTATAAAAGCCAATAGCTATAAAGTGTAATTTGCAGACAGCAGGCAAATTGAAAAGGTTCACAATCCTTTAAAAAAAACCTGACTCTGAAACCACAAGAGGGAAGAAACCGCAAGAGGGAAAAAAGCACAAAATACCTGATCCACATCAAAATATGGGCACCCTAGAACTTCAAGAATCTTTTTGAATGAAAATTTTTGAACACAACAACCTTTTCTGTTGAGAACTGTGCAAGTCCTTCAAGTAGTCTTGTCTAGCAGCTAAATTAACCCTACATTTGGGGCTGAAGGGGACAGTCTTTTTATTTAACTTTCCATTTTAGAACTCTAACAAAGTGCGTTGGGATAAGAAAGGGGGACTGGTAAGTACTGTTCACCCACCTGTTCAGATGCCTTTACTTGCCTTTTACACACTTAAGATACTTCATGAGGATTGTATCTTAAATTGATTACACACTGAGGATTAGGAATCTGCTTTCCCCTGTCACCAAAAGAATTACTAAATAAAATTTGACACTGATGTGTTTATGTAGGGAGAAGTGCTATAAGTAGCTTACCAACAGAACACAGATCATGCCACTGGTATTAGAATTATAGCCACTATTTGTAGGCATATTAAAAATACAGCTTTCCATGAAACAACATAAATCACTCCTGACGGTTTCTGAATAAGCTGTGTGTCCATTTGAGACCACAACTGCTTCAAACTGCCCCATGTGTATGAAAATGTTTTGGCTAGAGCCATTAGGAAACTAAGCAGAACAGTACTGCTACCACATTAAAACATTTCATTTTTAAGTTTTTATTAAAAATGACTCCATATCTGCATTAGAAAATATTTAAGAAAACATTCAAACTAAGCTTTTCCTTTGGAGGCAGAGCAGCAGTGGAGCAGTTGAGGCAGTATGGAGCAGTCCTGGGGCCAGTTAGAAGAGTATTTGGCTGATGTAAGAACAGGATTTCAAGTGCTCCAGAGGGAGCCTTCTTCCAGTCATTTTAAGAAACTGGGGAGCTTAGAGGGGTTTCTACAATAAAGGCCAACAGTCCAGACCCTACAACTGCTATTCTTGATGGCTGTACTGAAAAGCAGGCAGCCTAGGGCACTGGAAATGAGGTTTCAGAATGGCTGACAAAGAGGTAATAGTGTATCTCAGATCTCCAGAATCTCAGGAAAGTACATTTTACAGGTCCAAGTAAAAAAAAATAAAAATGATACATTTTCTACACACTGGGCTCGCTCCACAGAACTGTACGATAATTAACTCCACACTAGTACCCCTACAACAGTAAGCCTTACTCATCTGTATAACTTGCTGCAGCAAAAAGTCACCAAGCAACATCTAAATTCCAGTACGATAGTACACTTGATTTTAAACGTTATACACACACACTCTAACATTAGTCTTTTAGGCTGAGAGTAGAGGGAGAACCTATCCTTCATGATATCTGGCCTGAAGAAGCAGAGGCTGTCACAAATATTGTTCACAGTTTCTGTCCGTCATTCAGGTGCAAGCTGCACCATCAACAGATACGGCACAATTCTTCCAAATACGAACCCCCTTGGAGTGAGAGAAAATGAGTGTTCAAAAGTGATCTTCCTCCCACAGACCTCACCATTTCTGGAGGATTGCACTTGTCTAGTGTTCCCTTAACACGCATCTCTAAAGCAGGTAGGGAACCAAGGCCTAAATCCCTATCTCTCGTACAAATTACAGGAGCATCCATTTACTGGAAACAGGAGAGAACAAGGCTTCTCTTACAAAGACAGCAGCAAGCCACATCTTCCCACACCAAACTATGGTCAGTTGGGGCTTTTGGCCATGCAAACTTCCAGTCAGCAGAAAATTAAGCATGCTAATGGATAAACACTGATTCCATTTCTTCTACACTTAAGATGCTCCCAAATACTACTCAATGCTACACCAACGGTGCCTATCAGAGCAGTCTGACTTCAGTGGGTCACTGAGGGATCTAGAGTGAGATACCAGCCACAGGATGAGCCACCTTGGAGAGAACAGGTGAGATGAATTCTTAAAACAAAGTTTAACATTAAAAAGGTGCACCTGAATATTACAGACTAAGTTTACAAAACCTACAATAAGGTAAAATATATATTTATATCTTTTGAATATTCAGCAGCTTTTTGTTTATTTTTGAGAGGCTTCGGAAATTTTAGAAAGGGACTACTAACTAATTTCAACCATGCGTCACAAAACAATAATGGCTATTTTATATTGCAATTACCAAAGTAATGCAATTAGTGCTTTAAAAATAACCTACTTTTTCCTTATGTTTTTTTTTAACAGAGACCTTTTGAGGAAATATGGTTGTTCCAAAGCTTCTGGGGAAAAGTTACCTGAACAGGAAGTGATCACAGATATTAAATGTTATATTTCAAAGCTTTGCAGACAGGAATCTTACAATCGTCAGGTCCCAGGACTTTAATCTGAGAAAACTAACTGTTTGGTTGTTTAATTCATTATCTAACCAAAGCAAGTAAGAATATGCAACTACCATTATCTATTTACAGTTCTCAGCCTACTATCTGAAATGACATACAAGTAGTTCTCTTTCAAAACTGCAGCATTAAAGGGTAGGCACACCATTTTTCTGCTGCACGATTGTCATCCACTTAATGATACACATAAAAAATATTTAGGTAAGTAAAATGAGCACTCCACATAAACTATGACAAGCTTTTACAGAATTCAACTCAAACATCACTTAAATAAAGACAGTCACAAAAGGTTAAACCTCTGACAGTAAAACTATGCAAGTGTTACACTTCTAGCTTGCAGCAACCATCTCCCATGCTTTCAATAGCAGATGAAACCATAAATTTAAAACAGTGCATTTTTATTGCAATTTCCAGTGAAACTGGATTATATTGCAGAGTTTCTACACCACTATGGAGCTTTAAACAGGTTTCTGTACTGAGATGACAACTAGATAGCTAAGGGAACTCTGCTTTTGAGTATGGAAATACATTAAGCTACCAAAAAAAAAAAAAGTCTAAGAACAGTAGTACAAAGCATATGTGGGCTAAAAAAAGCCCAGTCTCTCTCAAGAATGAGAAGTGCATATTTAACATGACAGCAATGGTGTGCCTAACCTTTGAATACAGTGGGTTGCTGGGAAGCTATCAACCAAACAAGAAGGCTAACTTAATCATCCCCAAATTCAAGCAGCAGCCCCGGGGGCTATCTAGACCTTCTTCCTATGAACTGTAGCATCCACTTTCAGTCAATAACACAAGATACCTAATAAAAAATAATGCTTAAAGATGTCTCGTATATAAATTCAACTGCCTCTTTTGGTTGTACAAAGCAGGAGAATGGAGTCCTATCAATCTTTTGCACAGCTAAGATCAAACTGTGCCACTCTACCTGAAGAACCAGCGAATCTGATTCAATGAAGCTGCAAGTCCAGAAAGCTTTAAAGCTTACTGTAAGAAAACGATCAGATGCCTCTGTAACTAAAAAGACTGAACTGTAGATTTAGGAGTGCTAGTGATGATTATAGTAGCTGTGAGTGTGTGCTAGTCCACTATTAAATAAATAGTGAATGAAACAAAAACAAAAATGCAGGATATGCAAAAACACTTCCTGCTACTGGCAACTGTAGTATTTAAAAGGAAACACCCATTGGGTGTTCAACCCTGACAGTGTTACAGTTAGATAAAATGCTCAGCCTAAGCCAGATCAAGTTGATCTGATCATGGGTTTTATTAACATTTGTAAAAAATTTCTTCCCTGAACGTTAACATAGATCCTTCATTTACATGACTATTTAGGCAGATTATTGAGGTTGTAATGTTTAGAAATCAGCGTTGTTGTCTTTTGGGGGAAGAGAGAGTTGGACAAGGTTACAGCAAGTTATTATATGTATTCCCATCCCCCAGAAGAGTGTTCTTTAAATTAGCTGGAGGAACCACACAGTTTAGCAAACTCAAAATTAAATCTGTTAAAAGCATGTAGGTCACAAAGCCATATTTTGTTAAAGCGAGGAATACCCTAATATATCATTCAGTGTACCCTGATGCTCCTGAATACAAGGAGTTTTTTGAGATAAGGCTATATCCTCAAGCAGGCAAGTCCAACTCTCACCTTTATAAAAGAGCAAACAAACTGTGAAGGTAGTGTTTCAAAGGAATTAACCAAATTAACCAAAGCATTCTGAAGGTAGTGTATGTAAAGTTCCCACATCCCCATCCCCACCCTCCCCTCCGGGTGAGCACTAAGCAGATTGCAAATGGTAAAGAAGTTGAATTTAAAAGAAAACACCTCCAATTAGACCCAACCAACTGGGGTTGTAACCACAAATCTCTGAATAGAATAGACCAACCATTATTTAAAAGTTTAACTTTTCCCCCAAGCCAACTGGATCCAAGAAGAAAAAAGGTATGAAATCCAATTATAAAGCAATGATCCAGTTTTAAAAGTCTGGTACTAGAGTTCAAGGAAGTGAGGGGAGTATGGGAAAAACAAACCCAATAAAATAACTGAAAAGTCCATGCAGGCTCAAGAGGCAAGCAGTCCACTTCCATGTCTGCATTCTTTGTGAGGTAACTTAATTCTCTATAGAACATTAGAGAAACATGCAAAAGGCCAAAAACAAAACAAAAACAAAACACAAAAAAGGGCTCTAAGCCATACTGGGCCAGAAAATTTACAAATATGCAACATTCAGAGCACTCTTTTCCCCGTGTCCACACAAGTCTCTGCTGAACTGCAAAGGAGCATGTCCTGCACCCAGTGACTGAAGAGGAGTTGGGTGCATACAGTGGGAGTTGAACAATGCCATAGTGCTCACCCAGTTTGTTAAGTAATTGGCACTCTACAACATCTCTAATCATCCTTTGACTCATTCGCACTCTGTGCTGCCTCTCCCTGGGGATCTATCTCAAGCTTTACAGAGACATCTTGTCCCTCCGACCTCATTAATTTCATTTTTTTCTTTGGAGGGTTTTTCAAAGTGCCCAGCCTCTCTTTCACTTTATACTCCAGGGTGCTATGGGGAATCCCATAAATACTCTGAGCTTTGGAGACGCTCATTTTCCCACTCATCACCACAGAGATTGCTTCCTCCAGTATTTCACTGTTGTACTGTCTGTATCTGCCTCTTTTCTTCCGAGGTTGCTTAGAGCCAGGATCGCCCTCCTGATCAGAGGTGGGATATGGCTGTCCAGAGGTAGATTGCTCAGCATCTGAGCCCCAAGAATCTGGTCCGGGATCCAGCAAGCTCCTCCTGTTTTGTTTCGGAAGGATAGCCCTTAACTTTTTACTTAGCGCGCTCTCCGTTTGTGAACCCATCACCAAAGAGCTATAGCTATACTGGTCACCAGAACGGGACTCCCACGAAAGGTCCATGCCTCGAACTTGTGGTATCTTTAAATCCACAGGAGTTGAATGGCTCATGTCCTTTTTCCCATCCTGTTTAGTTTGAAGTGCCATTTTTTGAAAGGCCGAGTTTTCTGTAAGAAAAGGAAGGTCACTGATGTTGCTGAGTGCACCATTTCCCCTGAATTTCATGCGAGTGAAGTTGAATTCGTAGTGTGGTTTTGCCCAAGAAGCCTCCCTGGATAGTATCATGTGCTGTCCATGATTCTGTAGCCCAGACGGCCCGTGGCTGGCAGCTGTAGCATGCTGGTTTCTGCTCAGCAGTTCTTCGCTTATCTGCAGTGATCGAGCCAATGGAACTTTGAGAGATGTGGAGTGGCCAGACCCTTCCCTGGTTCCATCCTGCCAGCTTCTCGGGGGCACCCCATCACCACTCCGAAGTCCCTCTGCATGGTGCTGGCTGGGTCTCCCAGGACGCCTAATTGGATGGAAGGAAACTGATGTGAGCAGGACTTGCACAGGTAGGGAGGGATGGGTGAGGGGGCCACTCCTTTATTAGAAGGCCTTGCTTGGGTAACATCACTTTTCTGGAATTTTTATTATTTTTTTTTAAGTCTCAGCAGTCAGTTTTTAAAAACTTGTTCAAAAACAAAGAGAAGCTTTTTGGGCAAAGAAAAATGAAACCTGTCAGCTGGTCTTTGGTTGGGTTCACAAAATCTTGGAGCAGAAAAGGCTTCGCGCAAGTGTCTGAAAATAGCATCTTAATTATAGATTAGAAATGAATAGTTATTTGCCAGAGTCTATGCATGACTGTGTTACTAGTGTGACGTTACCACTAAACAAGTACAGTAATAAAAGAGTAAGCCAAGTGACAAAATGCAGCAAATTCAACACACACACACACACACACTTAACACACACACACCAGCCACCTGCACTTTTTATAAAATGATGAGAACTCTGGAGGGTATGCATTCACACTATACGCTAGAGTTGCTATTCAGCCTCTAAACTGCTCAGCAGAAATAAAAGGTGTTTGCTTACCTTGCATTTACACACTAGATCAGAAAAACTAAACTGCTCTTAAATAAAAATGCTACACAACTCGAATCTTCATTTTCTTTTAAAGCTATACAAGTTCCATTTTGTCTTACACATTCTTAGGCAAGAAGAAGGGATCATGGTGCAGAACTACTATTTATTGTGCTATCTTGTTTTCAACCTTTAGTAACTTGTTAATTGGAGCAGGAGGTAATCTACTTTTTCAAGCACTTTTTTAACATCAGATAACTTGCTTTATACACATTTATTTTAAATCCTGTAAAACATTTCAACAAAGTATATTATACTTTTAAAATGTATTTTGCCCTCACCATGTTATCTTTAATAAAACTGTTCCCACCTTGAAAGCCTCTATATAGAAGATGTTGGGTCATGGAAAAGCAGAAGGAAGAAGGTATGTTATGGTTTGGGCTTCCTTATCTTTTAGCAAATGTCTATTTGTCATTAGACTCACAAAATATGAAGTGTCTTAGTATGGAAACAAATATTCCACATACATACTAAACAAAACCCATACTAGCATCAACAACGTAACTAAGTATCTAACCAATCTTTAAGTTTATTATACATTTCAGCTACTTACACAGCAGGGGACCACTGTCCAGACATAACAACAAACTTTGTTAGATGAAGGGCAACACCTCCTAATGCCAACTCCTCCACTAAAGGGCCAAACTAGACAAGACACTGGGAGATTAGTGGATGGCTTTCCTGAGTGGTAAACCACCACAAGGGCCTGTGATTTAAACTGGGACCACAGTATACAAGAGTACCCTTTCCTTGCATGCACTTTCCTCACTTCAAATGCCTGTTCAGATGTACTATTGCCTTGCTTAGGGAAACACACAGGTTTCTTGTATATTTCCCCCACTGGGCTACATTTGTAGGGAAGGGAGTTAAAGCATGGGAAACCAGCATGGGAGAATGAGTTAAACTCTTCTCCTTGCGGATAGTCAAACCAGCCAGCCCCAACAGCGACTATTTACCAGTTTAAAAATGCTTGGGAGACTCATTCGCAAATCTCAGTGTCTCATCTAATCTGGCCTAAGAGTGAGCAAAACAAGCTAATTTCTGGAAGACAAGGTTCAAAAATTCCCAGAAGAACATATTTTTTAAAAAACCTCACACAATTTCAGAAAATGAAAGAACTTGATGGGCATTTTTTCAGAGTTTAGGAATTCAGCATTAAGCAGAGGGCCCACAGTGAGGTATTTAAATTCTACCTTGTAGTTATCTCCTATAGTATTTTACAGGTTAACTGCAGCCAGTGCCTGTCAGAAACAGTTATTTTTAAGTAATTAGAAATTCAACAACTTTAAGATGATGTCATTCTACATCTAAATCCAGTCACTGTATACTTAAGCAAGGTTAGCCACAGCATTTTAAAATTCCATTATGGCCCATGCATCCCAAAGTACTATCTCAAATAATTTTTATTCCTGGAGATTTCTCCTTACCACCACAAACACCTAAACATATCAGGTTGATTGAACTATATGCTAGTAAGTAATAACAGTACCAGGAATGCTTAACTACTTAGTATATCATCTAGAAAATCTCCCCCAAACACCATTTCAACTGACATAAATCTAATGAGCCACAACAAACACAAGCTGACAAAGTTATCCTACAACAGCCATTTATACCACAGAGTTATCCTATAACAGCCATTTACACAGTTCCTATGCAGTCACCTTGTTTGCTCTGGCTTCTTAGCCTGAACACTCTGATCCCTGAATGAAGCATTCCTCAGCAGCCCCCATATGACCACTTGTGGAAGCACGTAAGATTGCCAGCAGGCTCACAATCCAGCAGGGATCAGAGGCAGGCATCATATGTATGAACCAGTGCCTTAATGTGGGACCTATACATGTAGTTGCTACAATTTGCACAACTGCAGTAGTGCTATTTGAATGGTCGCAATCATGCAAATCACAACTATCATATGTATATACCTCAGGCAATGATTCATGCAACTGAAACCCTAAAAGATTACTGTCAGGGCATTCGTTTCCCTGACCACAAATGATTTGATAGGCATGGGGATTGCTGACCATCATATTTGACTATAGCTTTATATTTTAAAATCTGTAAGACTGCACATATATAATTTGTATGTCAGCTATATGGCTAAATGTTCCTAAAACTCATTTTATGTTTGTCTCGACATCGCATTTGAAAAGTGGAGAAAATATTTTCTACACATGTATATAAATACTCTGAAGGGTTAAAAAACCTCAGCCTGTGAAACTGAAAGTATTTCACCTAGTTTGTTGTTACACCTCACTATAAATTGAACAAAATGAACGTAAGAATTTCCCTTACCCATTCCCAGGAGTAGCGGAGCAGCCAGGTGAATGGCTCAAGGAGGCGCTGCCTGCACAAGGGCTTTTCTTAGTGGACAGATCAAGCACTCCGTCTGCAGAGACATGAGAATCACTTGAGAACAGAAAGACATGGTTAAAACCAAACACAAATGAAATCTGGGTAAGGACTGTATGTGGTGAAAGAGCCAAATTGTCCTCAGGTCACTCACTTGAGAAAAAAGCCCCTCTGCACACTTCATTCTTATCACGATAGTCAGCTTTTCCAAAGTCAGAACAGAAATATTTAGGTCAGCAGTGCTAACCCCATGCATAGTCTAAGAATGTTCGTTGGAGCCCAGAAAGTCATGTGACTAGATAACCCCCCAACAAAAAAATAAACAAACCCATACAATAACGCATTATCCAGCAGTTTTAGCAGGACACTTTTTTTTTTACTGTTTAGTGAAAGGCTTCCTGTATAATTTCCAAACCAATGAGCTTATGGCAGCCATTTTCTCTAAGCAACAACCACTGTTTGTCTTCCTGGAAACCACAGGTTAAGTACAGCCATTCTTAGATCCTACACAATTTTGGGGGGAAAAACCAAACTGTATGTTGTTACTAACAACTTTTATAAGGCAGCCAGCAGGTTAGAGTGGAATGCAATGCAAGGACAAATCAGCTACCAGACTAATTTGTCCATATCTATCCAATATGATTCCTTCCCCTTGTCATGTTCATAAATGCCCATGTCCTATAAGCAGAATGGCTATATGAAATACACAGCAATAAGACCTAACTCCATTCCCAATACTGGAACAAAAGGCAACTTCAAGCACCACAGAAACACAGTTTGCAATGTTGCAGTAACCATAAGTCTCACAACTGAGTGTACCAGCCTCCTCAACAGCAAATTTATGACCAAGATATTTATTTATTATTATTTATTTATAGCCTGCCCTCCCCGCAAGTGGGCTCAGGGCGGCTCACAAATAGGGCACATGCCAATACATAAAACAGGTTAAAAGCAACATAAAACATGGCGATGTTAAGTGACATCTAGACCTCCTTTACAGAAAATCTTATCTTTTTTGTCTCCCACATGAGAAAAGACCGATCTCCATTAATAAATACAATGATGGGACACCATGGTGAGGTTTGGTCATATTTACTATCACAAACTAGAATGCATTAGTCTACAGAATACCCACATAAATGGAAAGTCTTCAAAATTAATCTGCAAGTATTTAACACTTTACAAGTGTGTTCTGGTTTCATAATTACTAAGCCATTTCTAGAAACAACATTCCCAAACCCATGTCAGGAGAAAGACAAAGGTAAAATATTAAAAACATTAAATAAAATACAAAAAGATATAATGGGAAATATCCAGCTCACACCTAGGATAGGTGCACCTAGTATACAGGGCACCACGCAACTAAACTTACTATACATCTCAATAATGTCACCTTTTGATACCATTTTCTGTTACCTGACTCCAAGGCTAAACTAAGTAAAGCACTACTAAGACTTCATTTGGCGTATGTTAAAGCTTTGGTTCCCCCTTTCCCTCTCAAGGTGTTAACTAACTTTGAAAACCTAACTTTGAAAACGTTATGTTTTCAAATATTTAAAAGGATACCAGAATTAAGAAAATCTCCTTAAGAGAAACAAGGCAAGATAGAAAATCTGAAATATGCTTTGTTTAAATTTATTTTTTAAAAATATATATATTCTGCCCTATGTACAAAGCAAGGTGGCATACAAGTTATTTAATGCTAGGACAAACAGATTGAGATGGCTCATGTACATCTTTCAACTCTAAAATGAAGATGCACATATTAACATTATGTTAATGCTCACTTCCAAGAAAAGTGGAAAAATGTTATCAACAGTTACAATGTTTAGCAGCAGTCTTTGTTTACATGCCTAGTAAAAAAGACCTTATTTAAAATATTTATGCCCCACCTTTTCCCAGGACAGACATGTAACAAACAATACTGACAGGGATCTACTATATGGTTTTCAAGTCATCAGCGGGGACTATAGGTGGACAAAATCTGTGGGCTCTTATTGTAGTATTTTTCAATGGCAGTATTTCCCACCCATTACAAATCCAACACTATACCCAGTGTTTCCAGGAGGTCCCCTGAGCCCAGGGATTAATGTTTTGGGAAGCAGGGGGCTACAGCACAAAGTAGAGGTGCGAAGTCCCATTTTGAAAACTCTGCTCATGGTTCTTATTGGATGCAACCCTACTTCAGAGCCTTTTGTGCTGGTATCAGGCAGTCAAAGGGAAAGATACTTCGAGTTTGGAAAGCAACAAGAAATCTCACTGTCTGGATGCCTGTGAGGCCATCAAACAGTTTCACGGCTGAAAATTTGCCTTCACCTTAGGTAGGAATTTGGGAGAAAAGTGAGGTCTGATGCCTGACTTTAAACTTCGTTTTGGAATCACCTGGAAGCAGCAAGGTATTGTCATTCCAGAGTACTTCTGAAGCACACTAGAGGACTTTGGGAGAGTCATTATCAGTGAAAACCAAGCCCAGGCAAAGCCTGTGGAATCTTAACTACAGCTTTACACCAGAAGACATTCAGTCTCTTGTGCAGGGGTCCCCAACATGGTGCTCACAGGCACCACAGCACCAAACACCTTTCCTGACACCCACCAAGTGTTTTTAGAAAGTGGGTGAAGCAAGTGGAACTCCTGCCCAGCAGGGCTTCTAACTGGCTGTGCAGATTAAAATAACATTCGTTGGGTGGTAGCTAACACTACAGAGTGTTGTTTTTATCCTCTCTCGCACCCTTCTTTCCCAGTGCATTAAAAAAAATTATACTTCATGTCCCCCACCCTTGGGCTTTCCATGCATGTGTGATTGGCTCTGCTTCCCGAGGTGACTGTTTTGTGGGCCTTTCCACCTCCCAAGGTTGCCATTTTGTGGTTGCATCCACCAACCTGTGTCAGAATTCCAAAGGTGCCCGCAGGATGAAAAGAGTTTGGGGGCCCTGCTCTTGTGTAGGGCTGGGCTTGACAAATCTCTGGTGCCAGGTTGTCATGGCGCATTGAAATTTCACTGTGGTTCCTAGCCGTTTCAACAGTGATTATGCTGTGGTACCTACAAAGATTACTATTTACCATTAGAATAGGTTTATATGACACAATGCATGTGCATGAAATTATTGTTGTTGCTTGTTTATATGTTAATTTTATATCATTCAAAGGTGGCAGATGAATTCATTTCTTAAATCAGTTGCTTTCTATTTAAGTGGAGCTTTTTAAAGACACAATAAAATTAGGAGAAGTTGGGGATACATTAGCTTAGTTGTGGTGATGATAATTAGGATTACCCCCTTATTTATTTATATATTACAACCCCTGTCAAAGCTTTAATAAAAATACAAGAGCCTAGGACTAGGTTCTGTGTAACAGTAATTTTAGAATGTGATCATTAAAATACAAAACTACAGCTCCTTAATTTTGAGAGGGTTCCTAGAGCCAAAGAAAATTATTCAAGGTCTGGTATAGTGTACAACATTTAAAAGTAATGCAGGAGGCCCAAATATATAAATTAAAAGGCTTCCACAAAATTAAGAGCTCCATTTAGAGTAAACAAAACTATTTATATTGAATTAGCTATAGTAAGACAGTATAAATATTCTACTTCCACTGACAGGCACTCTACTAACACTGTTATTTTCAATATATTTTACATATAACCTGGGCTCCAACTCCCTTCTTCTTTTGGCACACTGAATTAATATAGTATGCTTTCAATAAAAGGCAGGCATATGACCATTTGGTTTCATACATTCACACATCTTCAACACCTTTCCCCCTTCATTCTCAAATGTATGACCAACCCATTCACGTCTATCTTGAATCCACTGTGATACACAGTTAGCTACTGGTGGCTAGAATATTGAAGAAAGCTGCAAGATGCTTTGGTAAATACAAGCGAAACATCTATACCTTGTTCACTAGGGTCCAACTGAGACTTTCTGACGGTGAGGTCTAAGGGTGAGTCCTGGTCAGCCATGAGAAGTTTGCTGAGCACAGGGTTCTGAGCCGTTGCACCCACAGGGGATGAGGCGACCAGAGATGCTTTCAGCAGGCTTTGGTTCTTTGTGCTATTGGGCGAGCTGGAGTCCTGAGTAGAGCTAGTTTTTGAGGTATATTCAGCAGCAAACTGTCGGATCATCCGCTGCATGATCTCGCGAGCCACTAGGGGAATGTTGGGGTCAGAGACCCTAGGACTGTCTAAGTGATAAAACATTTAAGAAGAAAGTTACATACAGAACAACCTTTTCAGCTACACATTTAAGTTCACATACATATATATGCCAAGTAGCAACAATTTAAAGTGCATGCTCAAACCCGTGGCTCAATTCAAGCTGCATGCAGGTATCACACCAAACCTCTGTTCTCACCTGGCACAAGCCTGGGTTGTTGCTATGCTCCCGTGCTCTGTTCCCTGCCATAGGATATCCCAAAATATTCCCAGTTTTGTAAGGCTTTAGTCATTTTGCTGTGATGTCCAAATGCAGCTACTGGTAAATCTGACATTTGTTCATTCTTCACAAACTGGGATTCTAAACCACAGCCTAAACCTAATTAACAATTATGGTTTGTGGGGAGTAAACAATTTCCAATGGAACTAGGAAGACCTGGGTTCAACCTCAGTGATGAAGTTCAGAGTGTGGTCATCGCTCAGACTAACCTATCAAGATTGGAGACAGTGCAGAACAGAACCATGTAACCCAGCCTCCTTAGAGGCAAGGAGAAAAGATTAAATAGATCCCTAACAAAAGAATGGGGTTTGTGTGTGAAAATTTTTATTTGTTCCAGAGGTTCATAAAATTATGTTGTCAAAGAATTTCACAGCTGGAGTTCATTAGTTGTAGATTTTCTGGACTGTATGGCCATGGTCTTGGCATTGTAGTACCTGATGTTTCACCAGCAACTGTGACTGGCATCCTCAGAGGTATAACACAGAAAGATGGAGGTCAGTCACAGCTGCTGGTGAAATGTCAGGTACTACTACAATGCCAAGACCATGGCCATACAGCCCAGAAAATCTACAACTAAAGTTCATAAAATTATTGATTACAGTCGTTGCACTATGTAACAGAAGATTAATTAGACCCTTCTGATATCTTTGTTAATGGAATTCTAATTTTGAATTACCAAAATACCACAAGTAAGAGGAGCCAGTGAAGCATAATACTTGAAATGTATGATCTAGGAGGAACCCCCTCCAATTTAAATCTCACCTCAGACATATGAACTCACAATTTTCTTAAAAGTAGCAAAGTAGGCTATAACCAAAAGCTTAATTCATAGAATCACAGAGTTGGAAGGGGCCATACAGACCATCTAGTCCAACCCCCTGCTCAATGCAGGATCAGCCTAGAGCATCCCTGACAAGTGCTTGTCCAGCCACTACTTAAAGACTGCCAGTGAGGGGGAGCTCACCACCTCCCTACGTAATTGATTCCACCGTTGCACAACTCTCACTGTAAAAAAAGTTTTCCTAATATCCAGCCGGTACCTTCCTGCCCTTAATTTAAACCTATTATTGAGAGTCCTATCCTCTGCTGCCAACAGGAACAGCTCCCTGCCCTCCTCTAAGTGACAGTTCTTCAGATACTTAAAGAGTGCAATCATGTCCCACCTCAACCTCCTCTTCTTAAAGACTGCCAGTGAGGGGGAGCTCACCACCTCCCTACGTAATTGATTCCACCGTTGCACAACTCTCACTGTAAAAAAAGTTTTCCTAATATCCAGCCGGTACCTTCCTGCCCTTAATTTAAACCTATTATTGAGAGTCCTATCCTCTGCTGCCAACAGGAACAGCTCCCTGCCCTCCTCTAAGTGACAGTTCTTCAGATACTTAAAGAGTGCAATCATGTCCCACCTCAACCTCCTCTTCTCCAGATTGAATATTTACAAGTCCCTCAGCCTTTCCTCAGAGGGCTTGGTCTCCAGGCCACTGAAATAACAGAACTTTACAAGTCCTTCAGCAGACAAAATGTCTACTATCCAAAATGCACACATTTACAGGTAAATTTGGGTCAGATGGCACACTAGAGTTGTGAAGGTCCGGGGGTAAAATTGGATTAATTGGACTATACATTTTCTCTCTTGTTTTTCCCCTGAAAACTTTCCCCCCAATTTTTCAATATAAAAACTAGTAAATTCTGGAAAGCATTGAAAAAATTCAGTACACTTGGCAGAGTGCAGCTCTCTCTCAAATACTCAATTTTGCTTGCCGAAAACTAAGCCCATTTATACTTTTACAGTCCAAAAATATGCAAACAGTATAACTGCACGGATGTAATTTAAAACAATGCCATTTATGTTGTTAAAGCAATACAATGAGTTTAAGCTGGACGAGAAAGTAAGTATTGCATGTATTTAATTTTTCTTCAGGAGAAAAAAACCCTTAAAAGAAATATAGTTTTCTCCATGACTTAAAAATTTCTGGAAATTTTACCTCTCTATTACACTACTACTAATGTGCACAACAAACCAGAAATTTAAGCATTTTTATCTGGCTGTTACATAAGCAAACATCATTCAAAATCATGGTAGCAACCTAAAACTCTTACAATGAAAAAAAAATGAACTCTATGTATGAAGGCATCCCTGTATTTATTTTACCTAGAAAAGTATCACTGGCATATTCTGATGTTTCAGCAGCCTGGTCAAAGCAGAGATATCCAGAAGTTGCACTGGGTTCAGTATAATTCATTTCAAGTAACTATGTTAAGAACTGAGGTTTTTACATTCTATTTGCATTTATAACCTCATCAAATCAAGGTATTACTGTGCAATTACTCTTGATAGATTTAGGTTTCTAACAAACTGCAGATATCTTGACAAAATATTAGGGATCAAGATTTAAAAACAGGTGGACACATGGTTTGTAGACTCCTAAGAATGACATACACAAACCTTTTCTAATTGTATCACATCCTGAGTTCAACAAGCGTATGAACAGGTCAAAACACTATGTCATAATTAAATGAGAGTAACTAAGATCACACTATTACTCTTTCTCAAACATTATTTTATAACATAGCTACAACACAACCAATTTACATTTATACCACCATATTACTTGCAAACATAACGCATAAAGCAATTATGTCATTACATCTCTATATGGTACAGAAGCCTAGAAGAGTTTTACTAAAGATTTATCACAGGCTAACTATGATTATAAAAAATTAGTAACAGAATTGAAGTAATTAGGAATAGCTTTGAACACAGTTTCTAATTTTAATGCAACTTCCTGGACAATTTTTTTTTAAATATATACGCACAAAAACATGCACCAAGAACTCTAAACTACAGTTGTGAGTTTTGAACAGCAAAACATCTGCGTAATATTTCTCAGGTTCTTACATATTATGTTAACATTATGCTCTCACAGAATGGTATAGAAGAAAGACCAGGCACAAGACCATCTCAATGAAGCTGCAGAACAAAAGGGGAAAGTTCAGTACTTAAACTAGGCCCTAAAGTAAATAGCAGCAATTAGCTCCAGTGATCAATTATCTCAGTACATGGACATCCCATACAACAATCCAATACAAGAAAGGACACCACAGAAACAATTTTGTTTAAAGTCTCTGCTTCCTTTCCCACAGCTCTACTCAAGAAGCTATCCCCAGAAACTAACTAGGTAGGTCCAGGAAAGGTCAGCAGCTGTCTTGACACTCTTCTATTGGCTACTACATATTCTACCCTGTATACAGCCATTCCAATTTAGTTATCTGGACTCCAAGGGAGAGCATCACCCTGGTCCAACCTTGCTTTTAGCCAAAAAGCCCTATATCTGAAGCATTTCTTACTGGTCCACAGAAGGCAGTATCACAACCTCCTAATGTAGAAAGAAACTACTTTAACTGAAACAGGGGAAAACAAGTTATTTCAACTTTTCCAATCATAATAATGAAAGGGGGGAAAAGTTACCAGAGATTAGTGTGGAGAAAGTCTACTACATGTAAGTTGTTGAACAGAACCAGACATCAGAGATCAGTATCAGAGAACAATTACATGTGTTTTGAGCTCTCTAAATAGCTATTTGAATTAAAAGGAGATGCTGTCAGCTCTAGAAATTCATCACTTGTCAGGGGAAAACCCTGGATAGCTCTTATGGAAGCATCATGTTTCTACCTCAAATAGTAGTATTAAAAAGACCACAAAATCCAGCATATAAATGAGTTACATTACTGTCTATTATTTCACCAAGACCAACCTTTTTGATAAAAGACTGCATGGAGAAACTCTTCCGCTTGCCTCTCGAACCGAATGATTTTTGCTTGCTCTTGTCTAAACAGAGCTTGGTCCCCAACTTCCAGGGCTGGCTCATCCAGACTGACTAAGTGTTCCTGTGAAAATATTTAACAAAAATCCAGTCTTTCACTTTTCCTGTTTTTATTTAAATTTGTCACTTTTAATATATAGCATAAACCGCTTACTGTAAAATGCCCCCTCCATCCTATAAGCTCACCCTCTCCTTTAGCCTGAACAGGGGCTAGAACAGGTGGGAAAGGGATGAATAGAAGAACATTTTTAAAAGGCAGAGAAAAACAACATGAAAGAGAAAAATAAAATGAACC